CGACGCCCCTGCACCGCCGCCGGGATCCTCAAACCCACTGCGTTCCTGAAACCCTGCCGTGTTCCCCAAACATGCCACGTTCCCCAAAAAATGCCACCGTCCCGCAAACCCGCTGCATTCCTGTAAACTCTTTGCGTTCCCGTAAACTCTTTGCATTCCCAACCTGCTGCCTTTCCACAAAGCCGCTGTGTTCCCACAAATACACTGTATTTCCAACCTGTCACATTCCCCCAAACTCGCCACGTCCCCAACCCGCCGTGTTCTCCCAAATCCGCTGCATTCCCAACCCACCGCGCTCCCGCAGTATCCGAGCGCTCAGTGCCGCTCAAGCGCTGGCTGCGCCTCCCCTTCTCCCGCTAAGGCTTCACTCAAGTGCCCAGCTGGCAGGATGCAGCTCCCCGGGACGGGGATTTCCAGCTGCGGAGAGGACGCAAATCCACGCTCCGAAGCGGGAAGCACTGTAGGGATTTGCCCCCGGGAAGTGGCACGTCCCCCTGTTGTGGTTACGTCACTGCGGATGCTGCAAGCCGGGGCTCTAGCGTCGGTGCACGGAGTCCATCGTCCTCACGCGCCTCCAGAGTCATTTTCTCCCTTCCTCCCTGGAGAGGGACTTGCTTCCCGGTGTCCTCATGCGCACTAGGAATACATGGACAGCAGGAAAAGCGGCTAGGGAAAAGAAATCAGATTAGTCGATTTTACTGCTACGGTGTTAAACAGCACGAGGAGGTTTCAGATTCATCAGTGCCCAACGCTAATTGCAACCGGCCACGGCTGAGGCCAGACCCAGCGCTGCTCCAGGAAGGGGTCAGAGCAGACAGACAGGCACCCCAATCCGGCAGGAATTTCGCTATTCCGGACACTATACCATAGCAGGGTGTTGCTGGAGGTCCAAGGCCCGGCCCACAGGCGGTGTCAGCACATGGTCAATGGCCCCGGTGCCGCGGAGCCAAGGACAGGGTGTCCCTCGGACATCTGGGTCACCGGGTACGGCTGAATGTCGGCCCCAAGCCCCTGCAGGCAGAATTTGGGGTAAAACGGCTTAAACTGACCAGTGCAGCTGCATCAGTCACTGCAGAAGAACCTCAGCTGCAGAGGAAGAGGAGGCCGAGGAAGACGGGGAGCCATGTGATGCGGGAGACGGAGGCAGGACCGGAGCGGGGCCGTTTGGAAACGCACACGTTGAGCACGGGCTGCTTCCAGCCCGGGAGCTACTTCCAGTCCAGAGGGCAGAGTAACAGCCCCTCCGAGTCCCTGCGTTAACAGCACCAACTCATGCCACATTGAAACACTTTCTTGGCACAATTTATTTTTTTCTGACCCAAACAAATAAGCCATTAGCAAGTCATTAACAATATTCTACCCTAGAATTGTCAGTTTAACAGCCCTGTAAAAACATTTTTAGTTTAAAAACAAAAGTGTGCATGCTACTGATATTAAAACTGCAGTTACTCTTTCCGGAGTACCAGCTGTTTTGTTGCAAAGCATTTTTCAACATACTAATCTGTACAGTAAAGACAAAAAAAACCTCGACTGAAGGCAGCAGATGGCTGTTAGGTGCCGCGCGCGGCTTGGTAGCGGCGGCCTGTCTGCATTTCTTACACTTTTCCAGAATTCAAGCCCTTTTGAGAGTTTGGTTGAGGCCGATCAGCACAGAGTGAGAAAGGACTGTACATTCGTCTCCAGGTTGAAGTGAACTGGACTGGTGTAATTTAGGCTCGACTCCAGGCGCTCGGTTTCAAGCCCCTGCTTGAATAACGCCTCTTCTTGGGCAGTGTTCTCCGTGTGAGTGATCACTGGCACTGCTTTTGGCCTTGCTCCGCCACGCTGATGAAAGCAGGGAGAACAAGGAAAGGAACAGGATGGGCTCTTAAAACCAACAGCTTCTTGCCAAGGCGGTGCCAAGGACACCATTCCCCCTAGTCCCAGGCTCCATGGATATTTCTGTCACACTTTCATACATAAGCGCTTCCCGGGAAGACAGAAAACTCTGGAACAGTGAGTATTTATTACAATATTTTTGTTAAATAAAGAGGAAAAAAAAAAAAAAAGACGAGTACTGCAGATTTAATTTCACATCTTGGCTATGCTCTGACAAAGGAGATGTTACTGACTCCAGCAACTACCTCTTGTCCCAAGCCAGGGATTAATTAATGCCCCTCCCAAACGTGTACCTGTCCCGACCCACCCCCAGCCCCAACCCTGCCCGTTTTATTTCCCAACTAGACAACACTGTTGGCAAATCAAGACAGCATGAAACTTACATCAATAAAAACAACAAAAGAAAGTGTGAGGTGTGCGGACGCACCCGGGGACCTCCCTGCCCAGCGGCGCTCTCCGCCGGCCCTTCCGCAGGGAAGCGGCGAACGTTCTCCACGGCGCGGAGCGACAGGACGAGACTGACACCGGACCTTTTCCCGGGACACGCGCGGTTCTCCGGCCGGGGGTCGGTGCACTAACACTCGGCGAGTCCAACCCGATGCTTTAGCACAAGTCACAATATCCAGTTCAGCACGGTGTAAGGCATTGGACAAGGAGAGACACCAGCAGAACGCAGCAGGATCAGCGGTCAGCGTTGGTGATTGACGCTCCAGTTTGCCAGACTTCGACCCCACTCTGAATCCCTGATTCCTACCACAATGAAATTCAGTTTCTATCATAGCACATCTGAGGCTATTTGTTTTTGGCCAAGTGAAAAAGACCAATTCTTTTTGTTTTGATGTAAAAGCAGAAACATTGGCGGAAGCTGTAGGAAAAGCATCTGAGCAGCAGGGATGTCTGCAGGTGATCAAAACTCTGCCCTCGACTTCAAGTGTCACTGCACTAAACTGGGAGATATTGAAAGGGGAGTAAACCTGCCCAGCCACTAGCACTGTCACAGAACGTGTATTAAAAAAAATAAGAAAAAGGCAAACAGATTAATTATGAATCCTTTTCAGAAGCAGACCAGGATTAAAAAAATTCCTGCAAAATTGTTAGATTCTCCATCTAAAAAAAAAAAAGTTTATACATATGCGCTGAATGTGACCAACACACAGGTCTCAACAGCACCTTACAGTACAGACTAAGACTTAGAGAGCTGATCTCACATTTGAAGTCTTTTAATTTAAAAAAAAAAAAAAAAAGTGGCTATGGCTGGGATGACACGAACGGGACACTCGGAACACAAGGCAGAGGCGGAACGGGCAGCCTCGCTCTCCGGGCCGTGGGAGCGGCGGAACGGGAAAGGGGCACTTCATGCACAAAATGTATTTTACAAAATACATATCCAAAAAAAAAAAAAAAAAAAAAAAAAAAAAAAAAAAAAAAATCCCACCTTGCACTAACATTGCAGCACTCTCAACACTTGCTCTGCCACAGGCTGCTGCCCATTCTTGTTTGATAGAGGAGGCATATGAAAAAAGGGAGAGGGGAGGGAAATCCATGTTTCAGTCTATTTTTCAGAATTTCTCTCATAGGGACGTCTTCAGTCATCTGATGTCAGACACAGAGCTCTCAGAGTACGTCGTGGTCATGACAGGAGTGCCGTTGTTTGCCAAGCAACCTTGCCTCAAGGTTTCAAAATACGAGGCCTGCACTGGTTTATGATACTGCAGAACTTTTATGGCATCTTCTATCTTAAACCATTCCCTTTTCCTTCCTGTAAATAAAAAGAAAAAACAGTACTGCAACAAAATTATGTTATCCTTATGGTGTTCCAGTTCACTACTGATGAGCTGTCAATCACTGTAATTTGTAGTAATGCTACATGATTAATTCCAGTCTGTAGCAAAGTGTAAGTTAAAAACAGCTAGGAAACTTTCTCTCAGCATCCTGTGATCTCACAACAGTTTAAGGGCCATCTACTGCAAATCATACATTTATTCTAAGACAATCCAATGAGACACACCAAACCACCCAATTTCCACCAATTTTCAAGTCACTTCCTCAGAAAAACCTCTCCATGTTATGGTGCTAAGGACAAAACTTTCTGTGGTAGTAAGCTTCATATTTTCATTTTGAAGTCTGACTTAAATGCAAATATTTCAAAAGAGAAGTGGGAATGATCAATCCATACTGCCCACATACATTTGCTTTTACTTTTAGAAGGGCCAATTCTTCATGCACTTTGCTTATTAAATTCAGATTCCCTTAGAGATAGATCATAGCTCTACAGCCAAACTGACGACTTCATGTCCACAGTGGTTAAAATGGCATCAGCCTGACCACAAAGTTGTTTTGTTTTGTTTTTCCAGGCAAGTAAAGGACACAGCAGGGTAGCTTTTCTAGAGCATCCTCCAAAGGATTCCGAGGATGGGATCGCTGGCGCGCTCTGCACAGAAGCAGCTAGTGCTCTCAAGCACAAAGGGCTCACCAATATTGACCGAGTCCTCCCAGTCTTCCAACACTTCCGTGACGATAAGGACGTAAACGTACGTTCTGTGTTTCCTGTCCCGATTCTGGAAGGCAGAGTGACAAACACAGGGTGACAAAGCTATCGAAGGGAAAGGGGACGCGGGACACGGCGTGCACAAGCTGCACGCGGCCTCGCCGTGCCGGTGTAGTGCCTTGGGGACAGCTGCCATCACATTATAACCAGCTCTTAGCTAACAAAACTGTAACATTTCAAAAGAGAGGTCTGAAAGCACTAACTGGGATGACTACCAAAAAGTCTAGTTCCTACTCGTTAAGGCAATATTTGACAGACTGTATATTCATAAATTAGCTGCTTAGCTGGAAGAATCAAGAAACATTTTGATCTGATTCTTACAGTTTTTCCCTCTGTAACTTAGCTGTAAACAGCTAAGGGAAATAACTGTGAGAAGGGATAAAAATAACACTCGGTGAGTGGCCTTTTTTTTTTTTCAGGAAGAAAGGTGTGAATATACTGGAATAGTCACTGCTGCACCAGCTGATCACTAGTATTTCCAGCTGAAGTGGAAACTGCAGATGACCAACACCACTGAAAAGATCTGCAAATGTTTTCACTTCGCTGTGGAGTTTTTATGCTGTTGTTCCCCCCACACACGAGTTATTTTTATTCCAAGACGATTTACTTACCTCAAAAATTCCCACTAATCTTCCTAACGTCCCTTTCACTCCAGCCTATAAAAAGGGCAAGGAGAAAAAATAGGCTTTAATAACAGGTCACTACATATTTCCTTGTTTGTTGAACAACAGCAGTTCCTGCAAAACAGGAAGCAAATGCTGTAATTCAGGCAATCTGAAAACAACAGGCACAAGAGAAAGTACGCAACTCTGCCTTGAGCTCTAACCGTGCAGGCGTTCTTTTTCTAAAAATACATTAAACCATTTTTAATATATTCAAACTATCACTCTAAAGGGGAAAAACAAATTTTTAAAAAATCACAATTTGACAAGTTGCTGAACATCGATATAGCCCCAATCTCCTCTATAGGTTATCATAATCTGAACATGGATAAAACTTGCTTGGGAATCAGCAGATTTACTTCCCTTAAGTTACTGCTTGAGGAAATACGCGGGACACCCACTCGCACCATCAGAGTGACAGGACAGCTCCCAGTTACTGCAGTGATGTCTCGTACGCATCGGAGGCAAGCTGACTAAGAGTGAGCAAACACTTGGAAAAAGTACAAGTATAAAATACTCCCAAAGTTGTCAAGCTGCCTAAATAACAGGAAAAATATTATTTTTGAAGCAAAACAAAATACAGATGTAAATTGAAAGACTTTTGATCATAAGCAGACGCAAATTAGGAACAGATTCGAGTAACAGTTTTGTCTGGTACTTGAACACTATCAGTAACTCCCCACGTTACGTGGCTCGCTGCCACTCCTCACCACGGCTCAGTCACCTCCACAAAGGGCTGTTTCTGCCCTCGGCTCTCCAGTGGTGCATCCTGCACGCAAAGTGTCATCCCACTCTCCGGCCTCCAGATCCCTCTTTTTCCCCAACCATTTTCTTTCTTCTTGTGATTGTATGCAGAGCTCAAGTGCTACAGACAAGACCAGATTTCACTCCATTACTTAACTGGTTTGAAGCAACACACACAATTTGGCACACAACCCAGCCGCACTAGGAAGGTAAATTCAGCTGCCATCTCTGGCAGCTGGAACGTATCCCAAACAGCTCATGAAAATAGTGCTTCTACTCTTCAAGCCCAGATATAGAGACCTCATTATACAAAGCTCTTCTTTTTATTTTTTAAAGATGTTTGGGTGACAGGAACAACTAAATCTTTAACAATAAGGCAAATCCTCTGTCCGGAGCAAGCTGTTTCCCGCTTGCTCAGCTACTAACCAGTCGCATGGTTTTAGAGAGGAGCAACTCCCAATTATTAGGAGCAACTCCTAATTATTAAAAGATTTTCGTGGTTAAGTCCCCAGCCTAACGAATGAACACAGAGAGACCAAGCTAAGCCAAAGCACATCTCCCTCCTGCTCCCCTTGGCCAAAGCAGGCCCGAGGAGGAAGGGCTGTGTAACTCCCGCTACGAGACACGTTCCTAGAAGCCTCCTCCTCTCTGCAACATTCTCCCTCACTTCTCCTTCTAGGGAGGAGTTTTCTAACTGGAGCTTTTATGGTGGGCTTGGGAGCAAAATTTATCATCTCCTCAGTATTTCTGACATTCCCTTAAGCCCACAGGTGGGCTGCTATTAACCACCCGCTATTTCTGGAGCGAAAGGTCGATGCCCTCGTGTGCGCGTTCCCGCGGCTGGGACACACAACTGCCGGCTTTGACCTTTGCAGATGAGCGATTCCACCTCACCGGCAAAACTGCCGCTGCCGCCCTGGGCTCACGGCTCCCGAGTGCACTGGAAGGCCGATATGCCCGAAGAATTTCATTCAAAAAGCTCCAGCAATCTCAATGGCTTTTTGTTTGTTTGTTTAAGATAAGCAGTCACAGCAATCGGTCATCAGCAGAGAGGAACGCGAGGCCTCCAGCATCACAGCATACACACACACATATATAGATATATGTACACAAAGCGTAATCAAATGCTCTAGGCTAATAATTGTCTTCAGTTTTCTTCACTTGTTCCCAGGACAGGTCCTTGCATTCTGGCCAACACGCTCCTGTTCTCCTCACTCCCTGCCGAGACACCGAATCCAAAGGCAGAGACCTTGTTGCTGTGGTTTAGCCAACTCTCCAACCCGAGCAGAAACCAAGTCATCTACCTCCAAGCAAAAGTAGAAGCAAGAACAGTGCCAAGGCAGCCCCCAAGCAGCTCATCCCCAGCTCCAAACCCATGGCTGCACTAGCAGAGGCAGGTGAGGGCCCTTCCCTTCGCTCGGGTTAAGCGCAGAGGGAATCGAAACAACTCGGTGTGCAAACCAGCAGCCTCCTCCTCCTCCCTTCCACCTAGGCCTGTTCGCCCAGAAAGGTGCCAGGAGGGTACAACACTTTCTGCTGGAAAACCATGCTGAATTCTGCTAGGCAATTTAAACAAGTGCTAAGGCTTTCTTCATAGATGAATTTACCATATACAGTGGTAGTTGGGTCATAAATTAATGGTTTGACTGAGGCAAATGTCAGACTGAGCTCATAATGAAAATGAGAAACACTAAAGCCGTACCAAAGACCATGAAGTATATCCACCGTCAAATCCTCAAGTCCATTAACTCTCCTATCCAATTTTATTGGTATAATGGATTTTAAAGACAACATTCTCCTAGAGGACTTCCCATGCAGACTGCTGATTTGATACATACACACGGATATTTGAAAAGGACTTAATTTACACCCAAAGAGCAACAGCCTGAGTGTAGAAGTGACGGTCTGTGTGCAGGCAGGAAAAAGCAAAATCAATCAAGCTACAGTGCACCTTGTACAGGTGTACGAGATGGACAAGACTTGCAGAAAGAGCCTTTCTGTCCTTGCACCAAGAGCACCAGAGACCCAGCTGAGTTTGTGACGCTTCACCCGGTCCTCACAAGGGAAGAGATGCACTTCTTGTAACAGCACATTAATTTAGCAATATCCAGCTGCCCCCAACCAGCACGCACACCTTCAAACCGCTGCCGCATGCCCAGAGGGCCGGGATGGGCACGTGGGACAAGGAACAACAGAAGAAAACCCGAGCGGAAATGAAGCTTTACTCGTTCTGCCGCTCACGGAGCAACTTGTTTTAATAAAGAAAAATTACTGAAGACATCCAAGAACAGCAGGTTCAGGTTTCAAAGCTGAAAATAAGTTTGGGTCAGATGTAAAAAGCAGCCTGCAGCAACACCATCTGTTCCTAGGGACAGCTTTTATTTCCTTCCATCTGAGCTAAGGAAAATGTGGGTTGGAATTTCAGCTATTTTACTTTGCTCTATTAGGCTCCAAGCCTGCATCTACTATAGATTACTGCTGGGCAAGAGGTAACACACACAAATCTTTGCTGTAATACTTGTACTACTAAAGGTAGTAAATCACACTGCTAGCTTAGACAAGTCCTGCAGACAGGAATGACAGAGCTAGCAGGCAGATTTTCTTGCTATTTTTATTGTATATCTCAAGGAACGCTGTGACTATGTAACTAATTCTTTTCTGCATTACAACCAACATAAACATTTTTGAAAAAGGTGAAATATCACAGATTGAAGGATTTTTAAATGTTGTGTTCATTTTTATACAGTACACCTATACAAGATAATAGACAGTAGAGAACTCAGTCCAATATTTGCACTGAATATTACTAAAACTAAGAAGAGCCAAACTCCCTGGAATTATCCGTCATTTGTCCATGGTCCGTGCAACACTATTTAAAAGAAAAAAAAAATCTATTTTTAAACGGAAGGTTATCATATTCTAAATCACTGACAAAAGACATGAAATAAAAGACTATTTATAAAGCCTACTTAAGAGCAAAGGTACAGTGGCTAGATCAAAGTATTCTGATGATATGGACTATTTTTGATATTGGCATCAATTGCTCATTTGATCACAGATCAAGCACAATTCCTCTGCCTTGCAGCTTCCATGAAGCAAGACCAACACTCCCCTAATTTTAAAGAATGTGACATTTACTAAGTATTAAAAGTCAGGATGCAAAACATGCAGTGATCACAAAATTGGTTTGGATTTAACAGACACATGTGGAGGCTGCAAAGACCTTCTTTAATTTAAGGCATTACTTCTTCAACATGTTCCTCACCACTTGCTCACACCCATAAAATGAAAAAAATACAAACATCTCCCTAACATAAAATTAAAATGGGGGAGAGAATACAACAGGAAAAGGCCAAGAATGAGGACAGAAAAAAAA